GGGGGTCCTAAAATGCGTATTTTAACGAGAAATTTGTCCAAAAAAAAATGCGAAGCTGTTTTTAGCGATAATTCTGACCCTGAGGTTTTCCAAAGTTGACAAGTCTCTCTTTCTCGCTCCGCCCCTCCGTACTACGTCATGTAATGTACACTACAGTGGATCGATACTATATATGACAATGAAAGAGAGACTTGGAGCAAGTCTAGCGGTGATGAGAATCAAGGAATTTATTTTATGTAGCCTAACAATGATAATTTAAATTCACCAAACGTGATAAAATACTTTCTCTAAATCAATTTTAAAACAAATGTAAAATGTGTTCCAAAGTCGTATAATTCTAACAAAGAAAAAATACTTTATTATATAAGCATGCAATTTACCTAGTGTGAGTTGTTGACTGGGTAGCAACGACATGAATAAAACAACATTAACCAAAATTGTCTACTGACTCAACCGAAGTACCCGGGCGTACTTAGTTGATGAGTATCAATATCAATCGATATCAATCAATACCAATCGATATTTATTAATCGATATTGGAAATCGATGAATAATCGATGGCTTGTTCACAGGGGACAGAAAAGTACGATTGTGTTTATTTAAAATACCTTGTCATCAACCAATATATCGCATAGTTTCATCCAGGTTTCATCACGATGAAAATTATGTTGATTTTCGATAATATCATGTCTACTACTTCATGTAATTCAAACATTGTATTACAAGGACTGACCATAGTAGCGTGGGCTCATACTAGAACGATTGACTTCGCTTACACATACAAATAATAGAAAGGGATGAAACCCCCGATCACGAAATATTTCGAATGGATATAACTGGCGTGTTTCTGAACCAAAACCTTTTATTTTTTGTATACAGTTTAGATATGATACACTTAGCATACCTGTACAAGGAAATTTTAAGAAACGGTTATTAAACCGAAATTTTTGGGACTACAATTTTGGCTTATTTTGTTTCAACGTGCACCGCAACAGGTGGTGACGGAAGTGACGTAGTTACGCACTTAAAAGATATTGTGCATGACGAAAACTATTTTTCAACTGATTTATATTATTAATCATATATATTAAATATAGTCATACAGTATTTTTATGATTAGTATACAGTTTCAAAATAACGCTCATATAAATATGCTCATATAAATTGTCACTCATTGAATTGTCGCTGAATTGAATTCTCCTTGAATTGAATTGTCACTTATTGAAAGAATTGTCACTTATTTGATAATTCATACAAAGCCTACAAAATACAAGCCAAAATGTACCGGTATTTATACTACAAAAAGGTCTATATTAACCGAATTAACGAAACCGTTTCAGAGTTTATTTAAATTTACTGCCATTTTTTTCGCCCCATAAGTGCATGTATAGTTTATTTTTGAATTTAAATAGTCTATTGATATATCTTAACTCTTAAGTCTGCACACACGGCGAAGACGAGTTTAAATCGTGACCGGTTTTGTAAAGACTGCCGTTTGGATTTATACAGTCATATTATTAAACAAAGTTCAAAGTCGTGGATATATTCACGTACGGTTGATCGATTCAAGAACAATTGTTTTAAAATTATTGAAAAGCTTTATACCATCTAGATACAAGAGCGTGTGTTGCTTTTGAATCGATTGATTCGCATTTCTTTTAGTTGACAAAACGTTCCATATTAATATTTGACAAATTTGAGTTTGAATTTCGCAATATTTTTTAAAATTTGTTATTGTCATTCAAATTATTAAGCGTTAATTCGATTAAAAGGTCATGGAAGATGATAGGTCAATTTTCCTTCAACTTCCGTTCTACTTCTGGTTACAATGTCGAATTTACTTCCGTCACCAGTTGTTGCGGTGCACATTGAACGAAAGATTTTCGGCGTTTCATCCCTTTCTTATTTATGTACGGGTTACACCCTCGGCATCCTTTCGTAAGATGTTCGGAAATAGTCGTTGCAATGCAATATGTTTGAATTACATGAAGTAGAAGGCATGATATTATCGAAAAAATAAAAATCAGCTAATTTTGATCCTTTTATGACTATGTCTGCGGTTGTTGTGATATAAATATGGGATATTCGTTGATGACAAGGTATTTATAAAACACAATCGTACTTTTCTGCCCCCTGTGCTTGTTTTGCTGTGACCTTTCATCGATTGATGATTAATCATTTATCGATTTTCATTGATGAAAAAATCCTCAGTTAATTTAATGGGCCAATGTCACCAATTTTTAACCTAAAATGCCTTTTATTCAAAAACTGAACTACAAAGTTAAAAAAAACATTGTAAATGGATTAAGTTATGATATATGAGTAATATTAAACAACTTTGAACTTCCACGCAACATGACATTTTCATAAAAATTGACTAAAACTTGAATAAGTGTCCGCCAACAATTAATCAAGATGCCATTTACAATCCATCTCAATCCTGGCGTAATCTTGCCCATCCAGACTTGTGTACATGTTTTTCGTGTCTTTTATTGCTTTATTTTGTGCTTACACTCAAAAATCGGTGACATTGCCCTTTAATATGAATGTAATCAAACCGGTAATGCTGTAATTTAATTATTAAATACATACTTTAATGTCATATTAGCAAAACAAACGTGAACAGAATTCAGTAACAATGGATTCAATTTAATCTATCTCAAATACGTATGTGGGAACAGATTGGTACAAAATGGGAATAGATTTACTGTTCAGCTTGAACAGGCCCACACGCAGCGACTATTTAGGATAAATATCGACGAAAATCGATAAAATTGGTCATAACTTTGTGTGTCAATCGATATCAATTTAAAGTAATTAACGTACGCCGGGCGAACGGCGAAGTATATAAAACTGAATTTAGTGAAAACCCTCAATTTATAAAAACTTACCATTAAGACAGCCTGTTCTTTCATCCCAACGTTGTCTCTTTATCCATTGTCGAATTGTAGAATTTTGTTTATAAACCAGTACAGCGATGTAGCGAAATTTCCACGCGTCTTTCATCACAATATAAAGTTGATAAAACTGCACGTATTTTTCTCTTTACTACAGAATTGCTTTCTCTGTCAATTGAGCTATGATTTCCAAAACTAACCAGTCGTTATAACGTAAAATTAGCGGGTATTTGTGAACAAAAATGCCCTTTGATGACACCAAGTAACCAGCGCCACACCTTGTCTTCTCCACACGTTACACATTTTCCCGCCAAAAACTCTGTAGTGAAGGCGAAGTCCCGTATGAAGCTGACGTCACACGTGTCATGCGCAGGGGGACCATGGTAAATTATTTTAAAAATACACACGTACTAAAATCGAGACTAAAATCCAATTTTAATCTTTTTTCCTTCGCTATTTTCGCTTTCCACATATTGTTCGACCCAACCACGATTGTAACACAACATATTTTGCCCTCTAAACATTTTAAAGTCAACAAAAATATTAAATATGAAGTATTATTTCATAATTTATAGAAATATACTCTTCGGCAAACATCGGGAAAATCCGAAGTTGTCTTCGGCCACTGACCTGTTGACAGCACTGGATGTCTGTCTGTTTTCACGTTCAGAAATTACTTCATGTAACCAAGTTTGTTCTGGCTCGAACAACATGGCCGCCCTATAGCCTAATATTGAAAATTGAAACATTACTTTATATAGTTCAATGCTATAGCCCGATTGTTGTATCTTGAGAATTTACTTTACTGTAGCAGCATGAAAATATAAATAGTTGTCGAATAAAGGTCAATATTTTGAATACCGAAAAGTAACCAAAGGCTTTGTTTTTTAATAATACATACGGACTGTACGGTACCCTACCTTTTATATAAAGGGTGTAGCCTTACTTCTTTTGCTATTTTAAAATGTTTCTGGTTTTCATATAGACTTGGTAGGAATTTTACGAGTTGTCAATAAGCTGAATATGGTATTGAACATGGAGACAGGGTCAGTGATTTTAATCTTTAAAGACACACCTGCTGAGCGATGTGATTTAGTCGGCGTGAAACTTGATTTTGTTCAAGAACTTTTATTAAGTAGCACTACTTAATCTATATAATTTATCCCATAATATATCGCTCAATATGTAACAAAAGTCGGTCAAATTTACATTGAACATTCAATTGAGATAAATTAATTTTGGTCTCCAAACATGATATCAAATTTCATTGTTTGTACAAATCATAGATATCTATGGTACAAATCCTACATGTTGATTGGTCAAATTTGACGTATTAATCCGTTATATTCACCTACAGGTGAAGGTAACAAAACCGAAATTTTCAAAATGGTGGCTAGCTGTTTTGTGGACGTTATACTGATAAAGAAATAAACGAAATTAAAATAAATTCAGTTCCAAAAAAACACAAAAATACTAAAACAATTATTCGCCTCAGGCTCGGTGATTATCGGGGAATATTCACCTCGGGCGAATATTCCCCGATAATCACCTCGCCTTCGGCGAATAATTGTTAAATATTGTCGCGACGGCGTAAAATCACATCACTCAAAGGGTGTCACTGTGTGCCTCTAAGGCTTCAGAAAAGGGGGGCAGAGATACAAGATCGCCCCCAAAAGGCACATTTATGAGACTAAATCATGCACTTACATTAAATCGAGAGTGAACTTAGCAACTTTTAGGTGACTGTAGTTTGATCATCTCTCACATTGCATATCTCTTTTATCTTTCTTTAGCAGTGGCCATGATAATCTGGTTGAAATTATAAAGAAAGAAGAAATCAATTTACTGAAGGTACACCAGTGTAAAAATAAACTGACCATTCCTGTCAACCATTACAAACCGCCTGCCACACAGGCCAACAATGCACTAACAGATTGATGTATTCATGATTATGGGTGCCCACCTCTCCCCCCCTCCCCCACCTCCAAATATATATATTCATGATTATAT